CCCACCGCCGCCGCCCGCACCGCCGCCGGCGCCCTGCTTGTGCTGCTGGGGCCCCGACATCTCGGCCATCCTCCTCTCCATCTGCTCCAGGCGCTCCAGGATGGACATCCTGAACTGGTTGTCTAGGGCACAGAGGGAGAGCCGGTTACGAGAAGGGCCTCACACGTGCCGCGCGGGGCTGGCGCCCCGGGCATTTGCCAACACCACCCGACACGGGGTTCGGCTGGGGTTCTGCACCTCACACGGGACCCGAGAGCCTAGTTCTCTGCTGGGGGAGCCAACACCTGCTTTTGCCAACGCTCCTGGCTTCAGGCCCGTGACACTCCATTGCCCTGTCAGATGCCCGGCGGCAGCCCACGTGAGATGGCACGCAAAGCGTCAGGGAGGAGAGGCAGCGCGAGTCGGGGACAAGCCGAGCCTCCGCCGCCCACACCCCGAGCTGCCACCGGACACGTAGAGCAGGTGCTGGCCCACCCACCGCCAGCTCTCACGAGCCTGCCCCAGGCTTGTCCTGCCCCGGCCTGGGGCCCCTCCCAAGGCGACAGACAGATGCCATCAGCTCCGCCGTCACATCCCTGGTGCCTGGAGCAGGACAGGACCGCGCCACACGAGCGTGACCAAACGTGTGACAGAGACCAGCGCTGGACAGAGTGGGGCGACGGCCTTCCTGGCACCGCGACCTCCACGGTCAGCCACAGGCGCCAAGCACAGCCAGTCCGAGGTTCCGGGGGCTGGCAGAGGGGCTGCTCCTGCCGGGCGGCACGTGGTGAGGGGTGAAGGGGAATCAGCAGAGGCAGGGACGAGGCTTAGGCCGGGCAGCGTGTGGTGAGGGGTGAAGGGGGGTCAGCAGAGGCAGGGATGAGGCTTGGGGCCTGGTGGTGCGTGGGAGCTGGATCGGGACTGGCCAGCGCACAGGCCCTGAGGCAGGACAGCAAGCAGCAGCTGTGCTGGAGCGCAGGGGAGGGGCGGTGTGACCCTGGCTCTGAGCCTGAACACCACCTTGGGCACCTCCTTCGTCCTCGCTTCAACGGGAGCGCGGCTGCGGAGCTCACGGGCCGCGCGAGCTGAGTGAATCGAAAGCCCACGTCAGCGCTCAGGGCAGGAGGATGCCAGGCCCGGCGCCTCGCAGGCCACGGGGCTGCCGGCCGGACGACGCCCCTCACCCAAGATGCGCTGGGGCAGCCTTCAAGACACAGCCCCTGGTCCCCCGAGGTGCCCTCGCCGCAAAGCCCTGTCGCTCAGCCCTGAGACTGGAGTCTGCACCGCTGTTGACTGTCACAAGGGCGGTGGCGGCTGTCGAGGCTGGAAATGAAGCTGCTTTTCCGGCGGCGGTGGGGGGCGGCACCGTGCGGCTTTGCGGCGAGGGCACCTCGGGGGACCAGGGGCTGTGTCTTGAAGGCTGCCCCAGCGCATCTTGGGTGAGGGGCGTCGTCCGGCCGGCAGCCCCGTGGCCTGCGAGGCGCCGGGCCTGGCATCCTCCTGCCCTGAGCGCTGACGTGGGCTTTCGATTCACTCAGCTCGCGCGGCCCGTGAGCTCCGCAGCCGCGCTCCTGTTGAAGCGAGGACGAAGGAGGTGCCCAAGGTGGTGTTCAGGCTCAGAGCCAGGGTTGCACCAGCAGGGCCACGCGGAGGGACAGCCCAGTGCTGGGCAGGGCCCGAGCTGCTGCCCTTGGGGAAGGTGAGGGAGCCCCAGGCGCCTTCAGTGGCGTTCAGGAGGGCGCAGGAGGGCCCGGCCCCTGCGTGAGTTTCGAGCTCAGCCTTGAGGTTCCGCACTCAAGACCTCAGCGCCGAGGGCGCTGGGAAGTACCATGAGGACCCAGCGGCCAGGGCACGGCCTCCCCCGGCCGGGCCTCCAGAGCGGCCGCCCGTCCAGCTCCCGGTGTTTGTCTGGGCTGAGGCCACCATCCACCTCACCAAAAGGACAAGCCCTGGTGTCCTCCCACCTGGACACTATCCTGGCCTCAGGGGGGCTCTGGACAGGACAGGAGCAACACGAGTCTCTACTGTGACCGCTCGGACGACAGACACACGGCCCGGGAGGACAGAAACATCGCAGGCAGACGTGTGGGCAACAGAGTGGGGAGCGCGGTCTCCGGAGCAGGGACCCTGAGCGCCCGAGCGCCCGAGAGCCCGTGGGAGACAACAGAGCTGTGCGGTGCAGGATTTTAAATCTGTAGACAATTCACAGATGGGGCTGGATGTGGGGAGCGCTGGCGCCCCCAAGGGAGCAGGCTCCCCCCAGGCAGGGACCAGCCTCACAGGCGAGGCCAAAAGCGAGACATCAGATTGGTGAGAAAGTGCCAGGTTCTTGCTTGGGACCGAGGTCCTCAGACTCTTGCGCCCCGGGGTGGCGGGGTTAGCCCCGCCCCCGCAAGGCTGCCGCGGGGGGGTCTGCCCCGCTCCCTGGGTTGAGCCCCGGGGCGGGCAGCGCGCTTCTCTCTAGGCAGCCTGACCGCCGTGGGGCCAGGACGCAGCCACCCCTCCAGCCACGTCAAGACAGCCACGGCCCGGACGCAGCCGCACAGACACAGCCACAGCCACGCCCAGACAGGACAGGATTCTGGGCCCCCAGGGTCCTACCGCAGATGCGCTCAGCACTGGCACCGGGTAGCTGGGGAAGGGCGGCTGCAGCCCCGGCACCCCCGCCACGGCTGACCCCGCCTGTCGTCCGTGGCTGGCTGGGACACGCTTTTCCAGGGGCAAGGCTGTGGCCCCTCCCCGGACTACCATGGGGACGTTGATTTTTCTTTCCAGTAATTTTAGATTTATGGGTGAGCCGCAGAGGAGAAGGGAGCGAGAGGGCACACCCGTCCAGCGGTGTGGCCCGAGGGGATGCGCGGCCCGGAGCCCAGCCCAGAGCTGCAGGCTCACGCAGCCGCCCACCCTTTGGCTGCCAAGTGCCCGCTGTGGGGACAGAGCCTCCAGGCAGCAGGGCCAGGCCCGCCCACGGCTCCTCCAGGCCAAGTCCCTCCACGTCACCAGGCCTGCAGTCTGCACAGAGGTCACCAGGCTTTGTTCGCAGCCCGTCCAGCACTCTCCCTCCTCAGCAGGGCACCGTCCTGCCCAGAGGAGCTGCCTGGGCTGCACTCCAGCATCCTCCAGCAATTACCTGCCTCTTAGCAGAATCCTATCAGCAGCAGTCTCCCAGCCTGTCACACCCACAGGCAAGGAAGTGAGCGTTAAGGTAAGAAGCCACTGGAGGCCAGGACTGAGCGTGCACCCCAGGATCTGGGCACCCCCAGGCCTGAGCCGGCACCCGAGGGTGCAGCTGCACTGAGACAAGCAGCTGGCCAGGTCAGGCCCCTCCCTGTGGGCAGCGCCTGTCTGGAGGTTTGCTCAAGGGGTGGCCAGTGACAGCCTCGCGTCCCCACCACAGGCCACCCTCGGCCTGACAGCTTTGTCATGAAGAGGACAATGGTGCTGTGAGATTCTTAGCAAATTCAGAGCTACCTATATTACTTCATATATTGTGATTGTGGGTTAGAAAAAACCAAAATATGAAATAAAATATGATTAGCATAAACAAGCACACTGTGAAGGTCCCTTTTACTCCCGTGCACAAACCCACTGAACATCTGCTACGTGCCAGGTGTGGGGGTGCCCAGGACATCGGGGAGGGCGCCCCTGCCCTCCCTGGGGGCCAACAAGTACCTCTGCAGCCAAGGGCCCCAGGTCTGTGTCCGGTGAGGCCCAGGGCCCCAGCTCTGCCCAGGGGCTCTTCAGACGCGGGCCCCCCACGCCCAGTCCTGTCCTTGAGCTGCTCCAGGCTCATCCGCTGGCCCATGGCCCCGCCCACATCTCTGAGGGCCACTTCTCCTCAGCCGCATCTCCCAGGAGCCGGGCCTACCTACCGGCTCACGCAGGCCGGTACGGGGCTCTGGCTCCAGCGTCGCAGCACAGGCTGCAGCCATGCACGCTCACGTGAGCTCCTGTGGGCACCTCCAACCCTGGCCCGGCCAGGCGCGCCCACCCTGCAGAGGGCACCTCAGTGCAGGCAGAGCCAGGCGAGCAGGAGACGCGGCGCAGGGCAGAGGAGGCACACGGCTGGCTCCCGCCTCCTGCCGGACGGGGCCCCAGATGTCCTTAGCAAGCTCCCTCCCTCCGGCAGGAGCGGCCTGGAGGCAGGGACCGAGGCTGTGGTGGGGCTCGGCAGCGGGAGTGCTGGACGATCTTGCGCTGATGAGGCCGCTGGGCAGTGGGTTCAGGCCCGAGCGCGCCGCACCGCGCCTCGGAGGCCACTGGCCACGCACCAGCCAGCAGTTGCATCACTTGTCCTGGCGGCATGTGGTCCAGACGAGCAGAGCACGGCAGAGCTACTGGAGAGCAAGTGAGGAAGCACCGGCCACCGGGCGGGCTGACCGGCTCGGAGGAGGACACTGGGTCCTGCGGGCTGCGGGCCGGGAGGGGGCGCCGGGGCCCGCGGGCCACGGCGTCTGATTCACCGGAGACCACAGAGGCTCCCATTAAAAATGCGGACCCCGCACCTTCAGGTCTCCTGGGCTCTCCTGGGCGAGAAGGGGTCTGTGGGCACAGGTGGCTGGGAGGCCCCACCAGGGACCCAGCACCTACACGCTGCTGGATGAGCAGTCGGGCTGAGGCATGTCCCGGGCATGTTTACGGTGTCCACAAGAGCAGGTTTCCACAGCAGCCCTGGGGGGTGTGTCCAGACAGGCCGGCCCCAGTGGGCGGCTGAAAGCCGACCCCGAGCCCGGGGCTCGGGGCAGCGTCGCACGTCTGAGTTGCTCGGGTCTCGTGGCCGGAGTGGAAGGAAGGGCTCTGCCTTGGCAGGTGAGTGAATGGAGGAGCGATGCAAATACCACCTGCTATTTTAAAACGCGTTATTTGTAGCTCAAGCGCACATGTGCGTGCCTGTTGCTATTTGGATTGGGGACGAGGGGCGATTTCTCATGCCACTTGCGGCCCTGGCAGGAAGGGCCGATGAAGCACACGGAGGCATGACTCAAACTATTTCCGTAGAGCGCTGGAATCGCTGCTGAGGAAGTCCCGAAGGGAGCAGAGGCTGAGGCAGATGGGCGGTGAAGTCCCTCAAGCCCTTCCCGGAACAAGCAGCACTGAGCCGCTGGCCCAGCAAGCCCTTAGGACGTCCGGCGGGGGGGGGGCG